GGGGCTGCCGGGCGAGGCCCTGGGGGAGGCGCCTGGGGGCAGCGCCCGTGCGTGCCGGACGAGCGAAATGCCACGTCGTAAAGCCTGGTTAATGTATCCGTGTTCCAAGGGTGGGTATTACGGCAGATGTGAATAGTCACCTGTTTCCTTTCCGGGAGATGACTCTGAGAATGGATTGTCAAGCGTAAATTTTTTTTTCCCCCCTTCCTCTTTCTATAGGCGCCTGGGTTAAGGTAGCGTTTAAAGGTGTGGTAATTAAAGCTGTAGGCGAGTTTCGTTAATTCATGAGTAAAATTAGTGCGGAATCGCTGCTTCCCAAGTTTTTGAAGGTAACTTGGGCATGAAAACATTATGCCTCTCTTTCAATTAGATGGAAATAAAATACATGCATGACTTTAATTTTCTGTTTTTTTTTTTTAAATCTACCTGTTGAGTAACCATCTCAGATTTAAAATGTAATGAGGAAAATGGAAACACTTATTTTCACTTGACTTTTCCATATTTTCCTAAATGGCTCATTGGAGAATATGGAAAATCATTTCTTAAAACTTTAAGGACAAAGCTGGATATTTTTCTTCATCTATCACGATAGTTTTGGTATTGCTTGCTACTGAGTTACAGAAGGTTCCAGTATTGTGAATGCGTGCATTAGTGCTTATCTTTACTTGCACGAATAGTGGATTATCATGCATGTTTTGCAAGATTAGGGACAGTATTTCCCTATAATAATTGAATGCTTGAATGAGAGGAGAAATGTTTTTTGTGTTTCATAATAGATTAGAATACTTGGAAGAAAAAACTTTGTTTGAGAGTGAACGTTCTCCTTTCAATTAAAGCCCATAGAAAGTTCCCAAAGAATGAGTCATACAGCTAGTTTTCCAGTAAGAACAAGGAAGACAACATTCAACAGTTTTGTTATTTTATGAAGGTTTTTTTTTTTTTAAAAAGGAAGGATAAAAGTTACAGAAACATTATTAGATTTTTTTTTTGCCTTAATGAAAGCCTTACATAGTCTCTAAAAACAATAAATGCAAATCACCATAACTCTCTAATTGTTTAAAAAAAAAAAAAAAGAAGAAGAAAATACAAAGTCCTTTCAAACATAGGTTTCGAACTATATACACGTTTAATTTTCTGGCTGTATTTAGTCCTGTTGAACAGCATACGTGCATAACATTAACCACATGCACAGTAGTTGCAGGATGTATGGTGGCGACAGGCTCAACATTAATCTACATGAATAGACCTAAGGACTAGACAGTCCCTGGAAGGTTCCTTCTGCAACTGTTTATTTTCTTTTGTCTGCTGTTAGTGGTTAGTAGCCTTCTGTAGGGATTCCTCAAGTAACATTTGTTTTGCTGCAGTATAGAAGAGTTGCTTTCTGAATCCAAGCTTGATTGCATTAAACACCGCACGAGCATATAGTAACGCATGGTATCTGCATCAAGAAGCACAAAATATATCTTATATATGTATTACGTTTATAAAAACATGATATTTCTCCGCAGTTGAGGAGGGGTAAAGGGTTTCCATTTTCTCACCGTTAGCTAGCTGGTTATGTGTGTGGCTTGCATGATTGGCTGTAGCTTACTGACAAATTACTAGAGCTTCTGATAGTCAAGTGGTACTGAGGCTGGCTTAATGGTGAAACTGGAAAGGAAGGGATGGTGCAAATATGAAGACTGTCTAACCATCTCATGAAGTGGCCTGATTTTTTTTTTTTTTTCTTCAGCACTGATTGGTTGACGTTTTTATTCCACTTATTCACCGTATGCAAACAAGCTGACTTTGATTCCTGACTGTGACACAGGCCTAGAATTGAGAGGATGAAGAGTTTATGGAATTTATGCTTTTGATATCCTCCTGCAGTTAAAAATGAGGCTAGCGCGTTGCTGCTTTGGCCGGGACATCCTCTTAAAGCAGTGCCTAGACTATGGGCGTGGTCGCCTACCTTGGCAAAGCAGTGCAGGAAGGCACAGGCTTCAGCTGTTGATCACTCCCCTCCAGTGAAGGTGACCACTGTCTCATGTAGTGGTGTGTACATGTAATAGCTCGCTCCTTTCCGTTGACTAGTCAAGGAGCCAATTTGGTAAGCAGGTTTTCCATGTTGTCAGAGTATGTCAGTTTTCTGAGAGAAGCTTCTACTACCTAAGGAGTTCATTATCTTCTCTTCCTTATCTCTTTCTTTCTTTCTTTCTTTTTCTCAAGATTTGGACATATAAGCGTGGCTCACATCCTTCTGGAGAATGGCGCTGATCTCAATGCACAGAACAAGTTAGGAGCCAGCGTACTCACAATGGCCTCCAGAGGTGGCCACGTCAGCATGGTGAAGTTGTTGCTGGAATCTGGAGCGTTCGTAGACAACTACGACCATTTTAGTACAAGCTTACTGAGCAGCAGCAGCAGAGAGGACCTACCAGATATCACTCCGCTAATGGCAGCTGCCCAGCATGGACATGAGGCAGTGGTGCATCTGTTACTAGACTGGGGAGCTGACTGTAATTACACTGTGAAGACCATGGGCTGGAGTCCTTTAATGCTGGCAGCTGTTAGTGGAAAAGTGAGCTTGGCCCAGCAGCTCATGGACAAAGGTGCCAATCCTGATCATCTGAACGTACTACATAAAACGCCTTTTGAAATCTCTGTTGGCTTCAAACACAAAGACATGAAGGACTACCTGGAATCTCTAACAACAATCAGACCCCAGACAGGTACAGAGTGTTAACTTTTTTGTTTTGCTTTCCTGAAGTCTTGATTATATATTTGCAAATTGAAGGGGTCGTTTTTTTAATGAACGTTATGTTCTTTAAACATATAATTAAGAGCCTTTGAACTAGGAGATCAACGTTGGTGTAGAAACACCTACCTTGGGTAGGGCAGGCATACCCGACTTCGCAGATTTCCTCCATGGTGGCGTGATGGAATTCCTGTTCTGCAGTGAAGTTTGTGCTTGAAATATTTTAAAACGTTTTCTTTACTGTTTATTTTTTTATCTTTAACATGTATGAGACAGATGCTTATTTAGGAAGGAATTAAAAAGGCCTACTTGACATGGCACTGAAGAAAGGATGTCAAAAACTAGAAAGGATGTCAAAGAAAGGATATCATAAACTCAAAACGTACCAGATATAAAATCTAGAAAGCCTACTTTACAGTGAAAGACTGAAGAATTGCAGTCTATGTAGTTCTATAGCGAGGTGGTTATGAGATGCAATTAATAAAATGTCTACATAAGCACAAAAAATCCAATAATGAAGGACCTCTTTACCTGCCAAAGAAAAAATCTTTCTAATGTTAACCTTACAAAATGGGATGGGAAATATGTTTTGCAGTGGAACTAAGATCTGGAGTGAGTTAGCAGAGGTGTAGAATCTCCAGCAGTTGAAATGTCACAATTCAAGATTAAACGTCTTTGTAAAACTTCTGATCAATGAATTAACCTCAGGATTTCATAGAATGCATAAGGAACCTGTTCCTCCCAAACACGCATGCGTGCATACAAACACACATACCTTGTGCTCGTGTGTATACCAAACTAGATTAAAAGCACGTTACTTCAGTGCAAATCTCAAGTAAAATGAAGTTAAGAAATGCTGCTTTTATGATTGCTTTAATTCTGCCCCATAATGCATGCATTATGTGCACTGAATGAGATGAGAGCAGATGAAGAAACGTTCTGTGATTGTGTGATTAAAGAATCTGTGGCAGTAGGGTAGCTGTAGCCATGGTAGTTTGAGGGTATAAGAAGTACAAGATTTTACAGAGAGAGGTAATATCTCATGAGATGATTTCAAGGTTTAGAAAGATGCAAGCAAACTTTGACTACAAATTTTTTTCATTCAGTCTAAAATAGTATATCCAGTACTGCACTCTAAATGATGATTATTCTGTATAGAATAGAATAATATGTTGCAAGTTGTTATTAATAATTTTCTAATTATTATTACTCTATTTTGAGTACTTGAATTACTAAGCAAGTTTGTACTCTGATAGTTTTCTGCATGTAATTTCCTAGGATTTGTATTAAAGAGAAAGGTTACAACTGCTCACTGTTATCTGTCAGTTTGAAATGCTGATGAATTTAGTTTCTTAAAAATTCTCAGTGGATAAATAAAATAAAAAGTATGAATATAAAAAGATGAATGCAAATTTGTACTGGATATATCTCCCAGATATCTTTCCAAATTAGCTTAGCTTTTATTTTTAGCAAGTTTTATAAAAATGTTATTAATGTCTTATGCCAATTCCATTGAAGTATCATGGATTTGCTGCTTTTTCCTTCTCCAGAAGTTTGGAGCCAACAGAAATGTGTTAAATCTGCTTCTAAAGTGAGACATTTTGCTTTGGTCATTAGAACATCAATAAATCATTTCGAAGTTTGAGACCTTATTCTGTATGTGGCTATTTGGGGAGGCATTTCAAGATATTTGTGCTTTATAATGTAGACAGATGATGGGATGTGTTTAAGAAGAGGGTTTGGAAAAGCTGCAGGAGAGGATAGGCATCTAGATTTTTCCTCATTGGAGTACTTGCTTTAAAACCGAAGTATGTGGCTAGCCCTAAAAAGAACATCTGCCAGGTGCTACAACTTGGCCGCGGTGGCTGAAAGCCTGCAGAGTAAATTAGTCCCCCCCATCCCTTTCTGCTGCTTTGCCCAAATAGACTTACTTAAAGCTTACGTAATTATCTCTGTATTACACTGCAGCCTGGACATAGCCACGGTCCCAATACAGCCATGTTTCTCTTGGTTAAAGCTTGTAAATTTTAATTAAATTTGGTGTCATTCTTGCAGGTCAAGCTTCCATTATACTTTAAGAAAAAAGAACAGAAATCTAACACTTCTTTCTGCTTCAGAGAAGATTTTAACTTAACCTATTCCACACCAACGTGTGACCAAGTGGGAGCTCAGACTCTCATACAGCCAAGCCACCAGACAGAACTGGTGAACTGCGCAGACGCTTGTCCACGACCAGTCTCTGACAATAGACATGAGTTAGTTGCAGTATAGAGAAAAAATCTTCCATAATCATCCAATGCAGCTTAAACTGTCAGAGAAGGCTGTTTAACCTGCAGCAGGAAGCTCTGCATTAAAAGCAGATGTGTATTCTTGTCATCTCTGCTGAGGGGTATTTTCCATCAGCAGAAACTTAGTAATTAACTGGGGCAGGGAGGGATTAAAAAATGTTAACCTCCATGGATATTTCCACGGTGGTGTTTGACTGTAGCTTTGATCTTCTGCGAACACCAGAGTATATGGGGGGGGGGGGGGGAGGGGGGGGGGAAGGTTTTCTCAATCAGATGTAAGGCAGCAGAAAAGGAACTTGTCTTCTGATCCATTGCTGTAGGGAATTGCATCCCAAACACAAGGGGCTTTCATTGCAGGACTGTTTTCAGTAACAAAAATGTGAACTACCCTGTTGTTCCCTGTGTCCTGTCCCTGTCCTTGCTTTGGGTTACGCGGTCTGTATAACCCTGTCTTTCAGCATCTCATCATGGTCTCCTGCTCCCAGAGGCTGCCTCTTGTTCAGGCTTTTAATAAGCCAAATACAAAGAGTCCAGGCCTTTCCTAAACTTGGGTTTTGAAATCCGTTGCCCAACAAACAGTGGGCTCATACAGTTTTTTTCTGTAAGAACCGTTTTTTAACTGGGAACAAACATAGGACCCGTAGCTCCAGTTCCCAGCCTTAAAATATCTTAAGAGCTTCTCATCATTTTTCAGGCTTGCCAGCAATTGCAAATGACTTCCTCTGAAGTCAAGCTGTGAACATTAACCTTTTCTGCATTATCATAAAAATGGCAGATTCAGACTGAGGAGGTCTCTCTACATCTCCTCGTTTTCTTTAAAACTCTGTTGACACTACAGAATCAATGGGGTAAAAAATGCTTTAGGACGCAGGACGATGAATTTTTCTGACTTGAGTCAGAAAAGGAAGGAGCAAAATAACTCATGGTTTTTTCCTTATCCTACGTTGTGCCAGTGGTTTCAAAGCGCTTTGAAAGTCAGTAAGAAGTAAGATCTTTCACTCAAAATATTTTAACTTTGTAATAATTACTGTTCTTATGTTGAGGATGAAGAACTGGGAGCTGAAGGATCTATGTTAATGCACAAGTAGCAAACAAGCTGTGTGGTTAAATCACCAATATTTTTGTGAAGGTCACAAATTAATCTGGCAAAACTCAAAGAGGGGGCAGGAAGGAGCATCTTGTAAAATTCCTTTTGAGTCACTTTTCAAAACAGTCCTTTACTTGCTGAATGTTTATGCCTATACAGAGGATTACATGATTCCACAGAACTTCACTGTAGCTCTTTAAGTAATATTTTAGTCTCTCAGTTTTGAAACTCAGAAGTTTCCAAATACCGTTTCCTGTTACAGGATGGACACTGAAAAGCAGAAACCTTTACTGATAATGTATTATATTTCGTAAAGTTAACTGTGCACAGAAAGCTATACAGGTGAGCCATTTCTCCCATAGGTAACGTAAAGGTTATGTTGTACTTTCTTTCTTCCTGACTCCGTATGTCCACACAAATCTTCTATAGTAATTATATATAGAATTTGTTTACGTTTTTTGTTATACGAATTTTACTAGAAATTTTTGGTTTTGTAGCAGTTGTTAATAAAACTATTTATGTCTTTCCAGATACAGAAAAGAGGCAACCTGATGTCTTTCATGCTTTGAAATTGGGTAAGTACTGACAGGATTTTTCCACATCTGGTTCTTGCAACTGCAGGGCATGCCTTTTTGCTAAAATGGGAAACTGAGACAATGTGTTCTGTTTTTATATGTTACTTTGTTTTTTTCTTATTTTTCTTTTAATTTAAAAATAGAATTATTTCTGTAGTCTGAGTTTACAGCTTGTGGTTGTGTCCTTCATGCCAAAATGATGTGATTTAGTAGTTCCAGTTATTCTAAGTCTTGCTTTAAAAAGCTCTTTTCTTCCTGATAAACTTGAAGCATGAAAACAAAAGCACTAATTGGTGCAAAAATATGTTGGCTTCTACTCCATACGAGCGTTGTAATTGCTCTTTAAAGCTGTTTCAAGAAAAGAGTAAAGATCTTGCCTGTGTTCTCATGAGTAACAGTTACTTTTCATGAGCACGCACAAAATCTGTTCTTTGGGAAATGGAAAGAGCCGGTTCATCCTGTTGATTTCAGTTTGATCCAGACACTGATGGGTTGCGCTCTTGGTGGATGGCAAAGTGTTTTCTGGTTACCTGTTTTCCTGAATCTCTCAGCATAGGAAAAAGTGCTGAGATGATAGATTTGACCTGAGTCTTGCCACCTGATGGCATAGAATTGGGAAATAGGACTCTTCTCTTTCTGCTGAAGTTCCTCATATATCACAGGTTAGAAAACTCTGCACTATTTGTGGCCTCTCTGACAGGGTAGAGAGGTTTGAACCTTATCTGGTTTCTGTTCTTATATTTGCTGTTTTGCCATGTAAATATATTCTCAGCTATTATAACACCTGCAGCCTACTATTGCCTATCCTAGCTGTATAGACAGTCAGGAAAACTGACTGTCATTCAGCAATAAAAAAGTTGGTTCTTAAATATATTTTTTTCAAGCATTGAAAGATACTGTTCTCATGTGAGAATAAATTTCATGTTCAACGAACTCCTGAGTTCACTGAGACCTATGAGACTTATGAGAATCTCTCAGAGGGTATCCTGTGTGCTTGTATTCCCTCAAGTCAATCTGCCGTTACTTGGGACTAAGATGCCCCACGCAGTGAAGAAACATTTGTAATACAGGTCCTGGAGAATGATGGACAGGAACCCTAGTGCCTGTGCAGTTAGCAAGTTTGCTCTGCTGGGTCGTATCTGGAGTGGCTTTTGCAGAGCCAGCTACAGCATGTTTCTCTGCAACATGCTCCCAAGTGTTGTGCGTTCCAGTGGACTTATTTTTGAGTGGACCAGGGATGAATGCACAACAGATCAGATCTGTAATCTGAGCTAATATGTCCTCCTGCCGCAGCACTCAAGAATGGAATATAAGCTCTGCAGCAATCTCTGCTGAGCTAGTACTCCCTCCAGAAGCCTGGAGAGTTAGGCAGTGAAGGCAAATGGAAAACACCATGGGAATTAGGTGTCCAAATTGTGATCGTTTAGTAAGTCCGAATGGACCTGGACAGACTTTATATGGAAATGCTTTCGTGCTTTAGCAGTCCATCCCAATATAGTACAGATCGAAGAATGTTGTGCAGAACATATAGCACAAGTCAGCACAGGTTCAGAAGTCTTTCCGGACTTAGGCTTCGTGCTATGCAAAAATGACATTTGCACCTAGACAGACTCTGGATGTGGTAAAGCCTTGTGTATGCAGTGGATCTAATAATCCTTACTGAATAAGGATGCATTCTGTGGCTGTGGCACAGAAAATCTGATTGTATACCACTGAAAGCTGGATTTGTACCTGACTGGATTGCGTGCATGGCAAGTTTGTCCATGTGCATATTCCTGACTGTAACATAATCATGAAGTCTTTGGTGTGGTTCATCCCCTCCCTTTCAACAGAGAGCTGCAACCTGAAGGAAGGCTTTGAGTTAGCAGCTTTCTCAATTACTGATGGATTTTAGATTTTTTTTTTTTTTAAATTGTACATTAGAAATGTTGTGAAGGAAAATGTCATTGTTTCTTGACATCTATCCAAATAGATTTCAGTTACGCATCTTTAAATCAACAAGAGTTACCTTCTAAGTAATATTGTCATTGCCTTCCTGTTGAAAAGTTAGAGGTATATTTTTAAATAGTCACGCTTAGCCTTAGCGTTCACATCTGATCCTGGGTTTGGTGTGGTAGCTTAGAAGTTGCTGTTCCATTAATCACAGAATGGTTGAGCTCGGAAGGGACCTCTGGAGATTATCTGGTCCAACCTGCCCTGCTCAGACAGGGTCACCTGGAACAGGTGGTCCAGGACCATGTCCAGTCAGCTTTTGAATATCTCTAAGGATGGAGACCCTGCAACCTCTCTGGGCAACCTGTTCCAGTGCTCAGTCATCCTCACAGTAAAGGGGTTTTTCTTCATGTTCAGAAAGGACTTCCTGTGTTGCAGTTTATGCCCGTTGCCTCTTGTCCTGTCTCTGAGCACCAATGCAATGAGTCTGTCCCTGTCTTTTTTACACCTTCCCTTCAGATGCTTCTGCGCATTGGTAAGATCCCCACTTGCTCAGTCTTCTCTTCTCCAGGCTGAAGAGTCCCAGCTCTCCCAGCCTTTCAGTTCATTAACCATTCAGTTCACAAACTCAGAAACTTACAGCTTTTCAAACTCCCGGAACTGGAAATGGCTTACATAATAGTGAAGAAGAAAGAGATGATCGGTAGTAGCAATGGGAGTCTCTCATAAATGTTAACTGTTTCAACTTATGCTACTGAAACGTCATTCTCAAGTCAGTTACAATTCTAGATATGAGAAAGGCAGCTCAACTATCTTTTAGTCTGAGATTTTAAGATGCCAGTACTGGGTAGGAGTTTTAGGGGAGCCAAAGGAATACTGGTCACCAGATGCCTTTTGGTTCTTCTGAAATTCTTCGCTACGGATAGCGGCATTGATTTTATTTTATTTTATTTTTTTAAAGTTACTGGGTTAAGAAGTGTCCAGGCCAGAGTTCAAAATCAACTCTGGCTTCTCTGTAGGCTCCAAAGTTTCTGTTTAACAAAGTCTATGATACAGCTCTGTATTAAAAAAGCCATTCTGCTGTCTTCTAATGAATTGGGACACAAAAATCACTTCTGCACTTCTTATTTCTTGGAATGGGAAAAATACAGATGAGTAGTGCTGGCGGAGATCAGTTTTCACTTGAATAACTGCATTGAAGTGCCTGCAGAGATTAGCTGTGATTCTGATTGTCTTTCCAAGGAAAATATTTTTGCCTGTGGTTGAGCTGAAGGCAGGCTGTGTTCAATAAAGCAATTTACTATTGAAGATACTTTAAAGGTGAGAATATTTCCGTTTGCATTGTAGTTGAACTGCTTCTTTTTTGCCCTGATTCGTGCAACAGTACATATTCAGTCACAGACATCTTTTTTTATCTTAGCTGCCGATTCCCTGGTTTTGTCTGCCATGTATCATCAAAAAAAGTAAAGGAGCATAATATTAGAGCCGGAAAGGTGACCATAAGCTCTCCGCTTAAGATTACCCTGACTACCTCATTTGTTTTTAGAAGGGCTTGTTGCTATCTGCATTAAGATTTAGGAAAAAAAAAAAAGCTCTGGGTAAAAGATGTTCTGGGTAAAAGATGTTCAGAAGCATATTTTGCATGTTTTTTTGTAATTTAAACAAGGAGTCAGTGACTACTCGCCTCTCGTGTGCTCAATAATCTGTTACTTTTGAGAAAGAAATAAGGATATTAAATTGCACAGAAGGAGATTTAGTTTAAATTTTCAAGGAGGAATTAAAAAAGCTTTCTGAATACGAGAAGGTTAAGCCCTGGAATAGATGGAATAGCCTGGGAGTAGCCCTGGAGTAGCCTGGGAGATTGTGGACTCTCTATCAGCAGAGGTTTTCAAAAGCAGTGAACCACCTTTGTCAGGGGCATAGTGACAAAGGGTCAATATGACACAGGGTATTGTCCTTCCATCTTAGGAGCAAGGGGTGGTCTCCATTGTTTTTAAAGTGTCTTTTTTTTGCCTTTTTTTTTTTTTGAATTACTATTTTCTATAACTTCAGTCTGTGAAAATGGAATGAGGATTCTAGTCCTGCTGAGGGCAAATGATGGTGTCTCAGCCTCATCACTTTTCTTTGTACGACGTTATGTTTTGTGACAATATTATAGAAATGTTCCCTACCAGTGTTTTCACATGGGTCACACTGCAGGTTATGCAGCCTTTATGATTTAGTGGATTTATTTTGAAAAATCGATCTTTAAGGGGATTGTCCCAAAGCGTACAGGTAGAGGAAAAAAAGGAGGGAAAACAGTGCCTCCTGCTTATGCCACAATTTTGTGTAGCTAGGATAGATGTATTGATCAATTAAAGAAACAAAGATCAGTACAAATATTTTGCATTGGTGTTTGAACGTCTAGTATTATAGGTCCATCAGCACTACAGAACTGTAAGTCTATTCTTACTAATCTCCTGTGTGAACATCACATTCATGTTTTAAAGTGCTATATATTTTAAAGTAATGCATACTTTACTTTTTCTATTTTAATTCCACTAATTGTTAGTCAGTGTCAGCAAATCAAAATAACTAATAATTCAGCAGTTATCTATTGCTCATGTACATTATGTTTTACCACTAATTTTAGGAAACTTTCAGCTGGTTAAAGAGATTGTTGATGAAGACCCAAGTCAGGTCAATATGACTAATGGTGATGGCGCATCTCCATTAATGATTGCTGCTGTAACTGGACAGTTGCCCCTTGTCCAGCTCCTTGTTGAGAAAAATGCAGATGTTGACAAACAGGATAATGTTCATTGCTGGACAGCACTAATGCAGGCCACGTACCACGGGTAAGTTATATGCTTTCTTGGGGGTCTAGCAATAGAGAAGTTTCATTCTTCATCCGAAGAGAAAAATCTTTTGGATGTTAATTCAGGAAGCAGACCACTCTATGAGAATTTGAGAGATCTGTGCGCCTCAATTTTATAAAACTCTATAGTACCTTCAGGTTCCCAGGACAGATGTGAACACCGTTTTGGATTCGATAAAGGAAGAGCGCTCCTGGGGACTTGAACCTTGCCGCGGAAGTGCTTGGTGCCTCGCGTGCCGGACAGGCACCAGGAGCTTTTGTGCAGATTTCGGCTTTCAGCCTTGGATTATTTTTAGTGATTTGTAAAATAGTGCCTCCTCATATCGGGATTGTAGGGCTACATCAAGTTGTGAAGCTTCAGTCACCTTTCCATGTGCCATGTTTTCCAGTCTTCCAACTGTTCTTGAGTCCTCTGTGTAGCCTCTCGTTTTCATCGTCTCTTCTGAGGTGCGTCCACCAGAGACCTGACTGTCGCTTTCTCTAAGGCTACTGAGAAGGCTTTATAAATGCGGGGGAGGGCACTTAAGAATCAGGCCTGGTACTGCACACGTGATCTTCATCATACGCTTGGTGGTGTTTGGGTACCAGATTGCCCGTTTGGGGAAGGTGTGCTTCTCTCCATTATTACAGATGAGGCCATCACAAAGGCGGAGATTCACTTCAGTGCCCAGTGAAGTAATTTTTAAAATGCAGCTATTCCGCTCCCGCTGTGGTGTTGCTGAGTAACCAGTGCTCAGGCACCCCTCTTGTCCAGGAAAGCACGAGAGCGCGGCTGAGAGCTGCCTGTGATCCAATACTGCCCTTTCCGTTTCCTGGCGGCAGAAAATCATCAGCCTCCGAGAACCTTAGCTTTACCCTTCTCAGGGGCAGCAGTGGCACAGGGAGAGGGTCAGTCTCTGGCTCAAAGGAGGGAGCAGACAGGATCTTAGCTAGCAAGTGGCACTAAAGGCTTGTGTTGTTCCATGTGCCCTGAAGGTGGAGGAGTAGAAAGCAGGCTGGGTGACAAATTTTTAAGAAGATAAAATGTACTGGGAAGTACGCAGAGGAGCAGTGGTAGGGATGAGCAGAATTTTTGCTGGAGGAGGGGGAACGTTCTTCCCTCATTTTAGGCTGTTCTTATCTGGAGTCCATTCAGAAATGAGAACTAAGTGAGATTAGAAGCAACCTTCTGAAGTGGAGAGGTTGAGATCAACTTGTCAGCTTCAGTATTAGTTTGCAGTCTACTATTGCTACTTAAGAACTTTTTTTTTTTTTTTTTCTCTGTATTGCTTATGTGTGCCGGAGTTTGCTTTTATACAAGGTCAGTGTCTGCTTTGGATTTTGTATTAAATATATTCACCACAGCTTCGTTGTCTGTTGGCTTATTTTGTAGCCTGAAATACGTTGTTTTTGACCTGTAAGGCATGCCCTGTTTATTTACTCAGGTGTAGGAGAGGGAGGATGGTGAGTTCCTTTTATGGGAAGCTCATTTTTATGAGCGTTGTTGGAAGGTGTTTGTGTTGTGTTAGCTGTTGTTTAATTTTGATTGGTTTTGCATTTTAAGCACCTCAAGGAACTGATTATGTGCCTTCTCAGTTATTTAATTTATATCTCTAAATTAAGTACTGTTTGGAATTTAAAAATTATCTCCAGTCAATTCGGCTTCAAATATACAATTTTGTATCTGTTCTGAATATGAAGTTATATTAAAGTGTTCACAACGGTGTATGATGGCTTCTGGGTTGACCTTTGTCTTTTTATCTGGTTGGTTGGTTGGTTGTGTTTTTTTTTTTTTTTACCCTGGATAGAATATGCACTAATGGCCCGTTCGTTGGGAAGGTGTTTGGGAACAAATTGTGAAATCATTGTCAAAGGGTCAGCTTAAGAAACTCACTATTCAAATTTAGGTTTTTTTAGGCTGATTCTCAGCATATCCGTTAGTACAGAGTGAGGAAATGGTGACCAACAAAGGAATCGTGGGAGCTTCTGAATAACTTCTGGACGAGTTTTAGACTTGGTTAGCTATTGCAAAGCTAAAACTCTTTGCTCTAAATGAGGAGCAATGGTATGGAAGGGTGGGAATGAAATATTACAGTTTTCTCATTCTTTTTTAACAGAAGCGATTTTTTTTTTTCCCTTGAAGGAACAAAGAAGTTGTAAAGTATTTGTTAAATCAAGGAGCTGATGTCAATCTGCGTGCCAAGAATGGATACACAGCTTTTGACCTGGTAATGCTGCTGAATGATCCCGGTACGTTTTTTCAAAGAGCACTGAGGAAATGTTTGTAATTTCCACACAGCAGGAGAAAACATCCCTTCCAATATAGAAAATACATTAAAGTTGCTAGGAGTATCCCTTGAGGTCTGTGCAAGACTGAACCAAAAAAGGTTACTGAAAGTGGTGTTTATTGGGTTAATTGGTTAGATGACTACATATGTTTATGGGTTAACTAATTTTGCACATTTCTCCTGGCTTATTTTTGGAGATGCTCCAAACTATATTGTCCGTGGCACTAGAGCCAGTTTGGTGGCATTTGGTTGTGGTGTCCCTGGCATTCTGTAGTGTCATTGGCACAAAACTAGGGAAATGCCCAGTTCTGGAGCTAGAAATTGCTACTTAGTGATAAAGGGACAGGACAAAGAGAGTGTAGTCAGGTGGAAAGCAGTGAACTCCTGGCTGAAGCTCCCACTAGGGATATAAAGGCTGAGAATAAATCACACTCCTGGCTTTCAGGCTGTTTTTCATGGGAAGTACTTTAGAAAAAAGCAACAGACTTCAAGCAGGCTTTGATGAAATGCATTTAGTTTTTGCTGTAATTTGTTTAGTTAAAAAGAAAGGGCCAAATTATACAGTCTTTGCCTAGTACCTGAAGTCCTTTTTTTGAAGCCAAAGTCACTACTTCTGATGGAGTTAATGTTTGTTTTCTCTGTATTTACTGGTGGCGGTGTTTTTAGTCAGTAGTAGACACCTTTTCTTTGTCAATAGTGGAGGACTAGTAGTATGAAATTTTAGAGGCTAAATATAGTGAATGTGTTTTTCTTAGAATTAACTATTTGTAGGATGGACTGATTAGGTGGTTTCTTGTTCAACAAGGAGAATATATAGGTTAGTTTTGCCTACCTTTCTAACAGTCTTTTTCTGACTTCTGCATAAAATACAGTTTTACAGGATATTTTTTGCTTTCCTGTCTTCATCTCATATTCTTTTTTCCTCCTCTTCCTTTCTTCTTTCCTGTCTTTTTTTCTCCTCCACCTTTTCCTTACCATGTCTTTTCAGTCCCTTCATTGTCCAGGCTGAACCATGCCCTTTCTCTTTGGGATTTAATTTCAAGCTTCTTTTCTGCAACCTATGCTTGAAGAAGGAACGCTCATTTTCTCTGCTCTCTTCTGGGTCAGGTGAGAAAAGGATGCATCCCAGTGTTGTTCTTACCTTCTACCATCGTGTGGGAGGAAGCAGTTCACTTCATCACACACGACTGATTCTGACTGAATAGTACACTTACTGAGAAATACCGAGTGAGAGGTGGGAGTAAGCCTGCAGCAGCTGTGTGGGGAGAAAGGGTGGGAAACGCAGGCCAAGAAACAAGGTTTTGGGGACTGCCTTACTTTTGTGTTTGAGAGTTGCTTTAGAACATTCTTCTAAAAAGATGGAAGGAAAGCAAGTACAAGAGCTTGGCATCAGAATTTTAGATCGGTAGTCTGATGTATTGTGTTAACGCTCATAGGGAAAGTGTTAGCATGTCAGTCGTGATTTGTTACGTTTTGGGGGAGAGCGAAACAGATCAAAATATATAATTTTTTTTTTTTTTTTTAGACACAGAACTTGTACGGTTGCTAGCATCAGCATGTATGCAACTGGACAAAGACAAGAGTAAACTGAACAACAGATCATCTTTGCCTTGTTCCAGAAGTAGGCATTCCTTAAATGTTCCTATGCTGCCAGATGACAAAGGAGGATTAAAGGTAAATAAATTTACTCTTTTGGGGGATTTCTTAATAAATAACCGTATATGGTTTCCTCAAATGTATGAAGCAGATAAAGTCATTGCCAAGAAGTACTTAGGATCTGATACATGACTATTTCTCTTCCTTAAGAGTCTACATTAGAGCCTTTCAGCGCCTAGGAATAAATTTTAAAATGAAGTAGTGGAAGTTATGGTGTTAATAAGTTTGGAATTGAATTTCCATTATGATCTTAATTTTAATTTTCCCTTTACAATCCAAACTTACTCTGGTTTTAGCAGACTGTTCCTGTAGTCAGGGTTTCTTTCTCTTCCCTCCCCATTCAAAATAAGAGTGGATGTGTTATGGGGATTTGCTTGGTGTCTGTCCAATACTCTCTGACCAGGTTCTTTTAGATATTCCACACATGGAGGGTGTAATGTTTAGTATCAAAATTTACTGCTGTGATGTTACACAGATTTTTGATTTAGCAGCGTGATACAGCAATATGCTGAAATCACAATGCAAGTGTAAATTACGCTTAGCAAAATATAGCAATTGCAAAATACAGTTCAATCACAATACCCGTCTGATTTTCGTTACCAGTCTCTCTAAAATGCTCACTGTCACCAATGCTGGGCGTCCCCAGTTGCTGGGAAGAAATACATGATTGGAACCAGCTCAAATCCATTGCTTTCTTCAAAATTCCTTTGTTAGTTCAGGTTTTATACTGTTTGACTGAGCCACATACACAGTGCCCTGTGCCATGCTGGGCAGGCTAACTCAGAGACGTTCACGCTCCTTTGATGAACTCGGGGAGAAACATTTACACCAGTTGATGCACCAGTTGATCAACTGATGTAGCTGTTTATCTAAAACAAGGCCACCCTCTGGTCCCCTTCATGTTGAGATATCAAGTCCGTTTTTGGCGCAGCAGCTGCAGTCAGTCACTCCTACATTGCCCATCTTCTCCGAGTCTTCCTCCCTAGTAGGGATTTGTTGGTCAGTCACAGTATCCCCTAACAAGGGGAGAAGCTGCATGTTTATGTGTACTATGTAGGAATTGCAGTAGTAATTCTTTATATTTTACTTTTTTGGCGTATAATAGACTCTAAAAGAACATGATGTAGGAAAGCAACTGAAGCTCGGGATCTCCATGGGTAGTGTATTTGGAAATGCTCCTGGGACTGGGTGGGACAGCCCAAGAGATTCAGAGGCTAAATCTCTGTCTAACTGTGAAAATGATAGAAGTGATTCATCAGGAAGTGACAAAACTTCTGGGACGGAGGGTAGATTTCATTTAAACCATGAATGGAAACAGGCTGTTGGCACTGCAAATTAGGAAGATAGCAGAAGACTCTGAAGAGTGGAAGCATACGCAAATCAGGCTTGCATGTCCTCTGTCTAGTCACTGTGATGCTGTGTCCTCAGCTAGAAATTGACAGTAGTCCGGCAGGAAACAGCATAGAGTCAGAACAGGTATGCCGTTTAAACAAGAATATTGTGAATTATTCCACCAAGTCTTCTGTGCAAAAAAGAAGAAAAAGTATTTCTTCAATAAAAAAGTATTTGGTTGGTTTAGGAGTTGTTACTTGCTTTGGTGGATAATTTTTCATAGTGATAATTTTTCATAGATTTTTCATTCACCTCAACTTGCTCAAGCGTGTGATCTCATGTTTTTAGCATAACTATTACAAGGGTCTTGAAACGCGCCGGCCAATTTCCACGCTATTGTTGATGTGAATTTTAGAGACTATTTGAAGTTCTACTTTAACCGAAGTCCCTTTTGCAGTTTTAACTATGAAGTGACAAATAGTTATCTTCATATGACTATTCCATTACTCAATAGGATACAAGTTCAGTTGAGATTGTTTAAGTTTTTACAAGTTTAGTTTTAGATTGAGATATTTAAGAATATAGTTATTTAGCCTGGCAATTGTCAGAACAGCCATCGGCGTTATGTAACGCAGAGCAACAACAGGCCAGATTGTAGCTCTTGTGGTAACATGCAGCAAGGGCTTGAATTCGGTTCACATGCAATTTTCTGACTAGGTCAGTGCAAATCACAGAATGTGGCTTCCATTGAATCACAGATATCTAAGGACGATAGGGAACTTGAGAGGCTTGTGTGCTCTTGTTAAGTGAGGAGTCGGAATGAGTAAGCCGCGAGAGCATTTTGGCCGTTGTTTCTGTTATCAGGTCCTCTGCTACTTTGCTGTGGTGATGTGGATGCCGCAGTCTCCCAGAGCATCCTGTTACAGTCAGAATATTTTTCCCTAATCTATTCTAAATTCCTCTTGCAGTTTATTAAGCTGAATTAATTCTTGTTCAATTATCAATGCCGTCTTCCTTTTTTTTTTTTTTTTTTTTTAAGAACCATACACATACTTGAAGAGAAAAGTGTCATATTCTCCTCAGTCTTTTATCTTGTGGACTAAACAAAAATGTTTCCTTTAAATTCACTTGTATGCAGGTTATATTTCCCGAATCTCTTATTATTTCTAGTTTGTCTGTATCTTTTTTTAAGGTGAGGGATCCAAAACTAGTTATAACATTCCAGCTAGCATCTTGGTATTACATAGCAATAGATGAAAATTCCTTGTATAGTCTTATATTTCCCACTTTAGTCATTATAATCCCCACCCTGTGCAGTAAGACGTTGTGGACTTAGTTTGTGCTGTGCTACAACTCTTTTTTTTTTTTTCCAATTATTACTTTTTTCTTCAGTACAGCTGCTTTACTAGTCATTCCCTTCTCTGTATTTGTACACTTGATTTCTTCTTCCCCCATCTCAACCTGACCCCTACTGAATAATGTAAATTTATTATTATCATTTTGAGTATAATTCTGAGATGTTCACAGAGCAATCCAAATGGATGTCTCCCATAAGCTGTGAGAAATGTATTCTGTTTCATCGTTCCTGTTAATGAATGTTTCCAAACTCCTATGGCATTAAACGAAATACATGCTTCCAATTTGACAGGAAATTGTTGGTGTTCTGTCTCTTA